AACAGTATTTATAATTTGAGTGCAATAAAATAATTTGTTACTTTATACTACTTCAGTTATTCCGGGTAATGAATCTTAATTATTGAGCAAAAATTGCTGTACTCAAAATCACTACAAAAAAAAATCCCTTATTAATTGACGTGGCAACACCAAAAAAGCATTTGACTTGCGCATATGACTTTATTAAAAAATACAAAAAAAAAACTAAATAACATTTATTATGAACACAGTATTAACATAACATAGTATGCTTGTACCACCTACAAAGAAAACAAATTAACCCTTCAAACGGTAAATCACCTACTTTACATAACTATAAAATTAGAAGAAAAAACTAATTGAAAATTGCATAATTTCTACAAATACATAGTTTCGACACAGTCGGCGGGTGAGCAATTAAACTCGTATAGTTAACTTGAACTTTATTTGCGTAAACCGGTTAACCGGTTACTTCAGTCAGTTTATAGCCTAATTATAATTTAAATACTCTAGTATGGGATACAGTTGTTCGACATTATAGGAATGTGATATTCTTGATTAACTTGGTTTCGTAGAGAAATTATCAAGACTTGGCTCTCTAGCTGACAACGTCATCATCTTTTTAGTTAGTTCTAAGACATTTACAGCTGAACATAGGCCATACGTTAATACGTACATAGTACAGTCATTACGTAATCGTAATGACTTCCAGATTGGTAATTTGGTAGTGAATAGCATCCAGGGATTCCTGTAATTTGATACTTTGTAGTGTCTCTTTAGAAGTGGTTAGGTTCAATTTTGCGAGCTCCCATACCCAGGCATTTAAGGAAATTGGGGCAATAAAGTAAACAAATAGTTTGAAAATAAAAAGGAAAATAGCACCTAAGTACGTATTTTAGATAGCAAGCTACCTTACTTTTTACCGACTTCAAAAAAAGGAGGAGGTCCTATGAATATTCCAAAATTCTTGTTTTGTTTGAAAGGGTATACTCCCGAGATGGTCCCATTTCCATGAGGTCAGGATCTGATCATGGGATCCTAGGGAAACCGAGGAGAACTTTCGAAAATTGTAGGGGTGGGTAACTTATCAGTACTAATAATTATTTTTCGCTTTTTAGTTTTGACTTTAAGTTTGTTATTAGTTTGTGGTTTTTTAAACGCAGTTTTTATTTAGCCATCGAATAATACAAAAATAATTTTCTTAAAACACAACGGTAAAAGATCACAAGAGCCCTTCATCATCTAATGATATTCTCCGCTTAATATAACTGTAGAGAAAGGACTGAATGCTAAATTAATTGTTTACACATTTCTCCAAAGCAAACGTTTACCATTGCTATCTAGTACTAGATAAAACCTAGTACACTGGCAGACAAAATAATTACACAATACTTTATTTACCGCGAAAATGAATAACCGATTATTATTCCTAAATGTCAAGATAAATCTGGTTTTTTTGGCAGATGTTCCATAGAACTAACGACGAAAGACCATGTCAAAAAATGTCAATACATATTCAAAAATTTGGGATTGCATCGTAATTAATTTCCGTGGTTAAACATCGTCATCAAAAACTTCCATTAACATTATAATGTGACTTATTTTTCAGTAATAAATTATGATAAAAAGAAAAACTGTATCTCGCAATAGACTTATCATTTTACAAAGCAAATAATACAATGTATGACAATATTTGCATTGCAAATGTCTCATGTCATTTAATCCTTTGAAAACGCCGACAGATGATATAAACTAGCTTAGCGAAAGTGGAGATAAAATGTACTGAAATTACTATGTAAACAGTAAGTATAACGACCTTAGTTTTATAACTACTATTTTAGATTAGAAAAGGGAAAAAATCGAGAAAGATGCGAGAGACATGGAAGAAGATATGCTTTGATAACCACACGTAACTTAATTGGGATATTATTATGGTCAGGAAGAACATTTAATTACTTTAAGGGTAAAATAAACTAACATGACACAGGAAAATACTATAAAATAAAAATTAAGTAGAAGTCCAAGGAAGTTGCAGTTACATATGACCGTTTGATCAACTAACTAACTAACTAACAGCAAGCTAACTAGAAGACCCGGTTCTCAGACAGGCTATATAATAAGCCCACACTAGATTTATAAAATATTTTTTATGATATAGTGGAAAATTTCTCGTAGAATCTGTTTCGCGAAAGTCTGAATTGTACCTACATGAAGCAGCTACCATGACGACGTGAACCAAAACCTTATTGACTAAATCATTGGTACACAAAAACCTTTAACATCATCCATAATCATCAACAGCCGAAGATGCCCACTGCTAAACTGAGGCCTGCCCTTAGACCTGGAAACCAAACGAACCAGAAATCGTTTTTACTGCTGAAGAATGTCTCCCTGTCCACCAGGCGGTTTGAAGACCGCAGTTAAGTCACCAGAAGTAAAGAGAATGCTGCTTACCCTTCGGCAGTCGTTAACTTTAAGCCTACTTATACACAGGCTTAAAAAACCTTATATAAAGTACAATAAAACTCATATTTCGGTACAATCACTGCCTTCAACTGTATCTGACGCTGAACAAATAATCGGGCACAGTTTGTCTGGCCCTAATTGTACTTCAAAGAAAGTTTTTATTTACTGTGTACACTTTACAAATGAATTTAGCATACGGTAGTCGTTACTTTAAGGTTTAATTTGCAATTTAAATAATAATATTTGCTTAGGAAGATAATAATGTTAGGTGGCTATGAAATGTTCGTTTTTCATTGCAAAGGTGGCAATTTAATAGGTGTTAAAATTTGCAGTATGCAATTAATTCACAGTCTTTGGTTAGCTTTATAGGTCCCTTATTCCAACGGCTAGTTAGGGCTCAAAAGGGCGAATATTGCTGCTACAAATATGTAGTAGATAATAACGCTGTGTTTAAGGTAAAGGCACATAGGTAAACAAACAAAAGATCACGTGATGGTAAACGATCTGTGCGCCCATGGAGACCCGCATTAGGTACCAAAGGAACTACAAGCGCATAGCTGGCCTTTTGGAGAGGATTTCGATTTCAAGTACGATTGCAGAGGTTATGGAATAAGAGGCAAACGAGCAGGCTCATCACCTGATGGTTGATTAAAGTTCTCAGTCGCAATAAGAAATCGATATTATTCCCAGTTTCAAGTATATAAAGGTTCTTTTTACAGTTTGCAATATTTAACATACATATATAAAATGTATGTAAGTTTGCATAACGGTGCGGCGCCAAGTTCTAGACCGAGATTGCAGCAATTATTAATATTTATATTACTAATCGTAAATACTAATAAGTTACGAGCAAAACTAGTATTTGTAATTTACTTTAGAATGTGGCGTCAGTCTGATGTTTTCGATCGCCATATACTTAGATCCTCTTACCCTATCCATACTAAATGCACCACCCGCTTTTTTGAAATCCACAATGACTATCGTAAGTATTACCGTACCGTATACTTTTGTTAAAAAATATATTTTGGGAAATCTCATTCATACTTTGTAGCATTCTGCAATCACTTTTGAAACATGATGAATTTACAATAACATTTTTATGGAATAGGAGGCAAACGAGCAGACGGATCACCTGATGGTAAGCGATCAGCGCCGCCCATGGACACCCGCACTAGAGGAGTCACAGGTGCGTTGCCGGCATTTCAAAATGGAATACACTCTTTTCTTATATGTCGTATCGGTTCTGAAATACCGCCGACGACAGATCAATCCACAGTTTACCTGTCCGAGGCAGAAAGTTCCGGGAAAAGCGCACAGTTGTGGCCTGCCAACCATCTATATAATGGGGATTAAACTGTCAAACACCAAGCGGTCACCGGTGACCGCAACCTATTGTTCTATAATTGTGTCTACAAAACCGGTACTCGACGAGTTAAAATGCTGTTATTTTTATCGAATTTCATTTATAATAATCTTGACCTGTCTTTGACAATCCACTACTGGAACATGGACGTCTTCTACAAGAGAGGTTTGCACTAATCTCACCACTGCTTAGTCGGGATCTGGAGGGAGAACGTAGTTTAAAATGGTTCATGTTTGTCACAGAGCGGTACCACCCAGTCTTTGAAAAATGCGGAGATCCTCAGGCTGCTTTTACTACACCAGTAAGAAGAGTAAGAAGAAAGTCTCTGCAGTTATTACACGGCTCTAACTAATTGTCATACAATCGCTCTCGCTTACAGCTTGTGAGCAATTACAACATACTCCATGAGTTTATGAGTTACTGCCATTTAACGTTCATTTGTCTAGTTTCCAGTCTAGACCGAAGAGGCGCTAACTTAGAGAGCCAGTTCCGTTTCTAAAGAGCAGCTCATCGACCTATTTCAACCCGTGAAATGTTGATTTTGATTTTTATTACGAAGCCATTATGTTGAAAATCTATTGGAGAAATTGGATGATTTAGATAAATTTGCTATACAGGTGTCCGGTAGTACAATCTAGTGTTCGATACTCTATGTTCAGAGCAAAAAGTGTGAGTCCTAGATAGCGTCAATAAGTTCTAAATGTCTTCTTTCAACCCCATCAACATTAATCCATTGATGGAATGTCTGGAAACACATTAGAAAATTGCGCTAAAACCTGAAAAGATACGCTCACTTCCATTGTATTCCAGTAGAAAAAAAACACTATTAGGAATTTGTTAAACTGACCAAAATTACATATTCACCCTCAGACCACCTGTAGTCGCACTAAATTAAACTAATTATCATAAATTTCTTGTTGAACAAGACCATGATTCGATGACACAGACATTTCCAATAAAACTTTCTAAAGCAGATGAATTTAAAAGTTATAGCCGTTGGCATACCCGCTAAGTACCTACTACACGAACTTTTTTATTTCAGCCGATCGAATGTATCAGCAGAATGGATGCGTTCTATTCATAGATATGTCGCTTGCGAACCGTAATCACACTGTTTTGTGATTCACACAATTAAAAATGAACAGATAAAAATGTAGAGTAATAGGGTCACATCGATAAACTTGATACTTACCAAAAGTATCGCGCATTCTAGCGCCAGGAATCGGCCAATGATTAGTGCAGCCACAGATAAAAAATGCTTAATTATATGAAAAAAGAAGTAAAACTAGTCACCTTTTCATTTCAAAAAAAGAACACAACACATCACTGGCAGTCACACACTCACTAAATACCGATTTGATTTCCAATTATCGATAATTAATCGTCTAAAGTTCTATTGTTTTTTTTCTAATGGGACTCGGGTAACGCTACGGTGGTGGTAGGTAAATGGGAAATGGCGCGTTGACGGGAGCGCGCGCGCGCGGTGCGTTCGGATCTCACACTGAGCTACCAATACAGACACGAGACAGCAATAATAACCCACCTCGTTATTTTTTATTTTCTTTTTTTTACTGAAAATCTGCAAGATTGACGCCTCGGTCTGCGGTTTTCTTTGATACCTATGTTTGAGCGTTTTTTTCCTTCGACCACCGCGTTCGACCAATTTAATTCGGATGCTCGCATGTCACTTTTTTGACGGGATAATCCGTTCGAATTTTGAATTTCTCTTTTTTTCGAAGAACTCTTAAGAGGTTTGCCAAAAGAGGATTGCTTATTTAACGGATATTTAGTTGTGTCGGTCTGTTTTGCATGTTTCGCGAGTGCAATGTTACGGGCAAATATTTTCATTCTGGACGACCGCGACACTTAGCACGTCTACTGCGGAGTCGTTGCTTCTTTGCTTTCAAAATAAACCGATATAATCTGAGTGCGAATACTAAATTGAGAGCCAATCAGGTGATTACCATCGCACATTAAATTGAGATAGTCAAATGAGGTAAACGAGTTACCTACGTTACAGTACGTATAGTAACAGCCGCATATAATGTGTAGACACTGGGTGATAACAGTTTATTTTGCAGAGAACACCTACTTTTTGTTAAGCTGTTTGCAATGGCTTAAGTACTTTCAATTTAAGATAAGTGTCACGCTGTATGGAGACTGGTTTTAGGACAGATGTGATTAAAACCAGTTGGGTAGTTTTAAGATGTAGATTTGTAGGAACTACAAATATACCTGATGCACCCGCTGTCTCTAGCGGCTATCTCTTGTTGTGCTGAAACTACAACCCACCTTAATATTTAGTAAGTGTTTCTAATAGTCTAATGACTCAGTTGTGCTAATTTGGTCCTTTGAGACCTTTATCCCAAGGCTGTAATCATACCAGCTAAATGGCGGCTACCCACGTTGAGTATATAGGCTTCTTCAAACAGGATTCAAATCTGACATACTTCAATTGTTTTTACAGTAGACTTGTTGGGAATTCACACCTTATCAAATAGTTTAAAGGTACAAATTGCAATGAATTGCTATTCAAAACATTGGGCGTTGTGTTTAGCCACTCATGAGAAAATACTTTTAGACGAAAAAGGCATATGTCATGACCATTCTTTAAGACCAATTTTGGTCATAATTCTAGTCACGAACGTACAATTTACGTTAGGAATTAATGTCGTTCCTTATCTAATTATTTAGTGTCGAGCAATAAATAAGAGATTTATGTAATAATCATGTACATTAACGTCTAATGTACGAGGAACTGGACGATCCAGGGAAAGTTATGACGCAGACGCGATGTGGTAAGTCTATGGGAGTTCTCTAGGGGCATCTGACTTATTAACCGACTTCGAAAAGAAAAAAAGGAGATTGTCAGTTTGACTTATAAATATGTGTGTTTGTGCGCCATTATCTGGCAATTGGCTAAACCGATTATCATGCACTTTTCAGAAAAGTGTTTGATACACTTGGGATTTTGAATAACGGATTTCAAAAAAAGAGCGTGTTGAAATTGTTATTTTTTAAATATTTAAAAAATCAAGTAAAGAACTAGTAATTAAGAAGAGTAACCTAGAAAAAGCCAGACTGAAGTTTATATCTAAAGCATCTACGTTTACTAACAAAGATGTCATCTCTCATGCATTGGACAGGAAGGGTATTGGTAAGTATCATATTTTCCGAATACAGTTAAACTTCAAATATCTTCTGAAGTACATATATATAAATGTAAGTTTTCTTTTTAACCTTAACCTTCATGCTGATGCTCCCACTTGCTTACCACAAGACTTCAGAACGCGGGTCGCTCGCGCACCTCAACTTATATTCCATAAAGTAGAAGGCAAGCGCTACATCTAATGCCACACTCCATAGTTGGCCACTAATACTTGTAAATACCCGAAATTTCTTATGCATTGAGATCAGAAGAACTAACACCCATAGTCGGGGCGCGCAACCCGTCCGATGCTTTGTGTTTCAGGTTATCCACAAATTGTAGTTGGTCTGCACACCGAGTGCTGTGTAGCCAATTCATAGGAATGTGTTAATAGAGATAAATTCACCTGGAATCCCAACTAGCATTTTCGAAGGAGGAACCTTATTAAAAAATAAGGAGTGAGGACGAGATTGCGACCGGGGGCCCCGCTCGGTACAGGAGGAGGAGGGGAATGGTTTTTAGCTACCAAGAGTCTGACACTCCCTTCGCCTCACCCAACGCGGGAAAAGATATTTGATCATTTTTTCCTCAAGAAAAAGAAGTCTCTTTGGCCCTTTCCACGGGGCTATATTCCGCAATTTATGTTCCGTGTGAAGTGGTTCTTCTGTTATAAACCTGTATGAATGAACTTTTTAATGAGGCAAGCAAATCGAGCAGGGAAATGAGATATTCCGCTAAGTTGGCACTTAACTGAGTATAGAAAATTAATAAAAAATATTTTATTGGCGATTCTTGCAGTAAAAATTGTATTTGATACACCTACTTTTATTACAAAATCTTGTCTCCCGCCTGCGTCTCAAAAAACCGTCGCGAAATAACGCTTGCGCTGCATTTCGTCGTGTGAGTGCGGTTATCGGTGGCCCAACTCTCCAAAAGGCCGGTGTTTATGAACGGTGTCAACACCGTTAATTGTTTGTAAGATCTATTCATTTGCCTGTATCCCAAAAACATTGCTGTGTCGGTCGAAACAGGCTTGAGAGACACTACGGTGTCCTCACCTACCGCCTGACACAGGTGTTTACCGGACATGGCAGCTTCGAGAGGTACCTGTGTCTAATAGAGCGGGAGGAAACGCCCGGGTGTCATCACTGCAAGGACCGCCCAGAGGACACGGTGGAGCATACGGTGCGCGGTGGTGGCCTACACTGCATGGGCTAAGCACCGACGTGCCCTCAGGGATGTGATCGACGACGGTGATCTTTCGCGACCGGCCCCAGTTTGGGCCACGATTTGGAGCGAGGACTGGGATGCAGTCTCCTCCTATTGCGAACCAGTCATGTTAGCTAATGAGGAGGTGGGATGCGTGAGGCAACAACCTCCTCAGAATTCAGCCATCGCGAAGAACACTCCAGGCGTCGGGGATCGCGGGACGTTCTCCGGCCACCGTATGCTTAGCCGAACCCGAGCGTACGGCCTCAAAAAGCCATCAGACCGCCACGGATGGCCCAATAGGGCTGATGCCGATGCGGAGCCGTGGAGAACATAAAAGGTTACCGGAGCTCCGGCTCGAAGTGCAGCAGCACGAATGGGGTGGTTTTTAATCAGTAAGAGTCTGATACTCCCTCTTGCCTCACCCGGGCGGAAGAAGACATTCGATGATTTTCTACCTTAAATAATCCCATAAAAATGCGAGAAGAGACACGCTAGTTAAGCCTAACCGGGTAGGAACAAATACATAATTTGTTATGGAATAAGGCAATAGTCAGTATTCTCAGAACAAAATGTCGGTGAGTAGGTAACCACAACTGATACAAAGTAGTTATGTGAGCCTCCAGCAACAATACTGCAGGTTAGAGATCAGAGGCAAGCAATGACAGACTGACGTCAACAGCATTCTTCACATACATACCTACTGACAATGTATAAACTCATAATTTTTCCCATGGAGATAGACAGAGACCATTTTTTTTAAGCGGGGAAAATCATCGAATTTCTTCTCCCGCCTGGGTGAGGCGGGAGGGAGTGTCAGACTCTTACTGACCAAAAACCACCCCGTTCCTTCTCCTGCACGTTGAGCCGGAGCCCTGGTAACCAGTTAGGTTCTCCGCGACAGACACTCGAACTTCGCTGCATAAGTATAGTCAAATTCGAATTTACTTGTCACAATTTTCTTTTGTTTTATTTTGGTACCAAAAAATGATCGCTCACCGCTCACAATTTACGCCATATTTCAAAACAAAAGAAGTCAAAAGTCACTTGTCACCCGCAGGCGAAAACGCATAGCGAGACAAGCGATTATAAACCACAAACTTAATTCTAACACATGAAAATATTATTTTAAACCGTATCCTTACACAATAAGGTTGTATACAAGTGAAAACATAAGCTAGTTTTTGTTGCCGACAAAAGATTTATATGCAAAAATTACTAACAAAATGTTCACCTTTACGGTTTATTTGTAGTATTTAAATTGCATTATTCAATTTTGGTGTTTTGTGCGCCAAAAATAAAATGTATGCGATCATTTTATTTTTGGATACACCAAAAAAATTACTGTTTGCACTAACTTAAGCTCTTATGTACCCATAATCCTAAATAAACCGTCCTTCTGTATATATTAAAGAGTAAACTCACGGTTTCAATCTACTGCATACTTTAGAGATATCAATGAGAAGATATTGTAAATGACCCATTTAATACTATGACCACACGGAAACTAAATAAATTTATGTAATTTAGATTATCAGCAGGCCCTTTCATAATGTATGCAAATGGTCCTACGACATAGTCAAATCGCTAAAATTTATTAAACCTTAAACTCGTTACAACTTTATTGCCAACAATAAAGTTTTAACTTATCAATGCTACCAACCTAAAAAACTGGCCGTCAAATGGTAAGTAACTATCACCCAATCTTCATGTGAACGATTATCGATGTATCGATTTACAATATCGTCGATACCATTCGATACGCGGCTCATTCGAATTTTATGCATTCCTTATTCGATTCGATTGTAACTCGACTCGGTGTATTCCGATTAATGGGTTGTTAAAACGATTTTTATTGTTCTTTGAACGTTTATTTTGACTTTCGGAAACGGAACACTAAATTATATAATTAATATTAAGAAACTAGATAAATCAGTGACTTGTTTCAAGTCTGTTATAGTGATAACATACATAACATCACGCCTTTTGTCCCCAAAGGGGTAGGCAGAGGTGTACATTACGGCACTTAATGCCACTGTACAATGTTACACCCACTTTTCACTATTTATGTTATGAGTCCCATGTAATAGGGGGTGAGGCTATGCCATATACCG